TTGTTTTTTTTTTTTTTGACCAAGCAAACAGGAAAGTTTCATCAAGGCCTGCCCACCGAGTCACCAGGCAAGGCATGTCATGCTCACCTTGGCAGCCTCCAGGAAAACCTTGTCGCTGATGTGCCGAACGCTGCTGAGGATCACCGCCAGAGCCACGCCTGCAACGGGAAGCACCACCCGGAGCCACCTGGAGCGCTGGTTCTGGGGGAAATAACTTCCCCCCACAGCCGTAGCTCCGAGGGTTATTATCTCCAAGAACAACTTCGAGTTCGTACGAACGCTTATTCCACCACCCCCCCAAAAAAAAATCACAACAACAACAAACCACCAACCGACTCTTCCGAGCGCCCAAACGCCACCAGCAGCGAGATTTTAAAAGATGAGGGTTTTGGTGGTTGGTTTTTCTTACCTGGAAAGATGTAAGCGTTGTTGCCCTGGCCCGGCTTGAAGGTCCTGCCGTCCTTCAGGGTCACCAGGTCGAAGGGGCTGCCGCTGGCGAACAAGCAGCGGCCCTGCAAGGGGGGAGAGGCAGAGGAGTAATCAGTGCACCCTGAGGGGGGAAAAACCACGTTCTGATGGGCAAACTGAGTTACATTTCAGAGAATTAAAAAGAGCTACCAAAACCAACAGCAGAAGAGGAGAAAAGGTTAAAGAGACAGAAACATCACCAGCTGGAACCAAATCACTCCTGTCCGTCGATTGACCGGTAACGTTTCGCCGCCTGTCCACGTAACCCCACGGGTAGAAATAATAATTTACGGAAAATCCGAGGGAGATATCTTCTCTCCCTTTGGCTCAAACTTTGGCACCACCCCCGTGGCTCACACCACCAGCACCCCCTGAGTTTAACCAGCACCACCAGCAGCTCCTGCATTTATTTCTTCGTGCCAGACAAAGCCTTGGCTGCACAAGCAGCTCTGGTTTACTTGCTGTGCGAGAGACTGAAACGCCGCCCAGCTCACTGTTCTGATTAATGCAGCATCAGCTGGGAGAGATGATGAAACCATCTTAATTTGGAGGGTGTGTCCAGGGAAGGGGCTGGAGCTCCAGGAGGGGCTGAGGGAGCTGGGGGGACTTTGTGGCTCTGCAACTCCCTGATGGATCCACGGGGGGGGAACTGGGAATAAGGAACAGAACAAGAACAAACAGCCCCAAGATGTGCCAAGGGAGGTGTAGATTCGATACTAATGAAAATTCCTTTATGGGAAGGGTCGTCCAGCCCTGGGCAGTGGTGGAGTTCTCATCCAGGCCCAGTAAGAGGGAGGAGAACGTGGAGACACGGAATTCCACCGCGCCGAGACACGGGGGGGAAAGAGCTCCACCCGTTTATGAGTCACTTGATTTGGGATTGTGTTCCCAAAAAAAAAAGACCCCAGCCCCTCTGGCCCCCCTCACCCACCTCGGTCAGCGTGTAGGCCTCCTCCGCCGTGCACTCGGCCTTGGCCGTGGGGTTGCTGAGGGCGAACACGATGGGCCGCTCGTTGATGGCGGCCATGGCCTTGAGCACGTCGGGGGAGAAGAGCCTGCCGGCCCCTGCCACTCCTGAGGAGCACACAGAGGCACAATCAGCACCAACAGCTCGTCTTTCTTACCCCCCTGGGGCGTCCTGGGTAAGCCAAGGGGGAATTACGGGCGATTCGTCCTGGTTGGGTGCTAATAGTGCTCACCCGACCACACCCAAAGCCAGAGGTGCAGGTGGGTGTTTGGGCAGTGGCTACCAACTCTGAGCTGATAAAAACACCCTCCCCTCTTCCCCAGAAACTTGGTGCAGAGGCGATTGCAGTCACACCAGGAAATACCTGGAATCTTATCTGCTCTCTGCAGGTTATAAATAAACACCTGCAGGTGACCCGGCGGGCATCGGGGGATCTGCAGCGCGAAACTGGCTCCTTCCAGCCTTTTCTTGACCAGAGGAGCTGATTGGGGGAAGGAAGGTCAGGAAACAAAAAGCCCCAGAACAAGTCAGGTGTTTGTGGCTGCTCCCAGAGATAACCTGCACCAAACCGACCTCCCATTTTCACCAGCAGAGATGCAGATAGTCCTGGAGCCACCTCAGGGGTTGAAAAGGCAGCAAAACACCCAAAATTACGGAAACAAAGAGTGACTTTTTGCTCACCGATGATGGCTGAAGGCCGGAGCACGTTCACCGCCTCCACAAAGGTCTTCGGTATCTGCTCTGGGGGCCGGTGCGTGAAGGGCTCCTGATTGGAATCTACCTTTTGTTCTCGGCCCTGTGGGTGAAACACCAGTTAACTTTCATCAGAAGGACAGAGTGGGGGGGAAACCTGCACCCTGGGCGTTTCAACAGCCCTACCTGAACCAGCAAGCCGAATTTGTCGTACATCCATATCCTCCCGTAGGCCTCCTCGGCGGAGACGCCGCTCTCCACCATCGCCATGACGATGAGGTTGGCGATTCCCAGGGCGGCCTGGCGGATGAAAGGATTATTAACCAGTCACAAGAGAGAGGTGGTCACCTCCTGGGTGACAGGTGAAGGCTCCTGGGACAACAGTGACACGAGTTCTTTTGTCGGCACCGCGGAGGCGATGGTGCTGATGGACCGAGGAGCGCTGCTGCTGAGAAAAGCACCGCGTGGGCGCTTCTCTCTCCGACCGTTAAAATTAACAAGATGCTCTTAACAAATCACAACTTCATGGTCAAACAAATCACAAATTTCCCCTTTAACTACACGCAAGAGCCTGACACTTGATTTTCGAGTCCTTGCGGCGAAATTCGGGGGAGCCCGAACCTCCGCGAGCCCCCCCGCGGAACCAGAAAATCAACAGCTAAACCCGAGCCCTGAGGAGAACTCACCTCTCCCGCCCCGAGGAACAGCACTTTCTGCTCCGTGAGGGGTTTGCCGGTGGCTTTCTGCGCTGCCAGCAGTCCCGCCAAGGCCACCGAGGCCGTCCCTGCAGAATCAGCAGCGACCTGAGGTGAGTCGAGCGGAGACCCACGCGGGCTCGGGCGATGTTTCCGAGGAACGCAGAGGGGGCCGCCATACCTTGGATGTCGTCGTTGAAGGTGCAGTATTTCTCTCGGTATTTGCGCAGGAAGCGGAAAGCGTTGTGGTTCCCGAAGTCTTCGAACTGGATAAGCGTGTTCTGGCCGTACCTGCCGAGAGTTCTCGTGTTATTATCAGCACGGGAAGAAGAACGACCCGTTTCAACCCCGACGCTTCATTTAATCAGTTATCTTCGGACACAGGACGTCCCTCAGGCTCTCCCCCTGCTAGAAACAGCGGCCCTACCTGTCCGTGATGGCCTCCATGAACTCGTCGATCAGGTCGTCGTAGACCTGCGAGCGGTCCCTCTTCTGATACAGGCCCATGTAGAAGGGATCTTTCAGGAGCGTCTGGGGAAAGGGGACAACCGAATCTGACTCGCTGGTTTCCAGTTTCTTGAAATCAGAAAGCTGACTGCCCACCCAACGCACCCCCGTCCAAAGTAACTGTTGCTTTCTAATCACTGACATTCCACCCTTCCCTGTCCAAAAGCTGATGGCACCCACCGTGTTATCAGTCCCGACGTCGATGCACACGGGCAGGCATTTATCCGGGTGGATCCCGGCGCAGGCCGTGTACAAGCACAGCTTTCCCACCGGGATTCCCATCCCATACACTCCCAGGTCGCCCAGACCCAATATCCTTTCTCCGTCCGTGACGACGACAGCCTGGGGGAGGGAACGACAACAACAACAACAACAACAAAAAAAGGCAGGTGAAATTAGATATCAAAGGATATTTTCACTTGAGGCAAGGATGCTCGGTGTTACTGATTGCTCCTTTTTTTTCTTGGCTCAGATCCTCGTGGATCCCCCTCAGATCCCCCCCAAGCGAGGGCCACAGCCACGTGGGAACTGCGGCTTTGCAGGGCCTCAGGAATTCCACCAGCAAATCCAGGCTCACCCCGCCCTGTGGTTCTCGACCATCATCATCAGCAAAGAGCCACGGTTGCACTAACATCAACATTTCCATCCAACGCTAATAAATCTTTAAAAAAGCTCAAATGGGACGAAATAAGAGCCAGAAGTAAAATCAGACAGTGGTGGTGGTGGTGGTGGTGGTGGTGGTGGTGGTGGTGGTACCTTAACGTCGTTCTCCGGCCAGTTGTTCACGATCGACCTGATGTGGCCTCTGTCTGAGATGGAAATAAATAACCCTCTGGAGGAAAACGAAACAAACACAAAACAAACAAAAAGCAGAAATATTTAACGGGTGAAAATCAGCTGGTGATCGATTAATAAAATCGTGACAGACGCCCATCTACGCGCGGTTCTTACTTGGGTCTCCTGAAGATGTGCCCGTACTGGGAGCAGGCGAGGCCCACTGTGGGCGTGTACACGATGGGCATCAGCCGCTCGATGTCGTCCTGCAGCACCCTGTAGAACAGCTTCTCGTTCCTCTCCTGGATCCCCATGATGTAGATATACCTGCGAGTCGACGGGGGGAAAAAGCTTCGGTATTTGGGCTTATTTAAAGAAGAAAATATCGAAGGAAAAGTGAAAGTAAAAAAAAAAAACAAAACCAGGAGGAGGCGCTTACTTCTCCAGGGGGTCGGTCATTTTGGCCAGGTTCTTGTGGAAGCGCAAGGCCTGGATGTCCTGGGTCTCTATTTTGGGAGGCAGGAGCCCTTGCAAGCCCAGCATCTGCCGCTCGTGCAGCGTGAAGGCCATGCCCTGGAAAAACGGAGAGGCGAGAAACAATCAGCTCCACACTGGAGAGCCCCTTCGGGGGTTGTTTAGTCTGGAAAAGAGGAGGCTCAGGGGTGACCTGTGGGTCCAAAAGCCACAAAAAGTTTCCCGCTCCGCGTTTTCAGGGCGGGGGAAGAGTTTTAATTAGTGGTTATTTAACAGAATTATTTAATGACAACAATCAGCGCAGCCTGTAAATATTTTTTTCAGCTCGGCTCGTCTGAGAACAGACTTCTCAGATAAGTGCAGAAAGCAAAGCCTGTAATTTGGGATATATTCTTGGTGTGATTAATCGAGGGGTTTCTAATCAATACAACGCTCTTTAGGGGGGAAAAAATTAAAAAATCCCGTCATTAAAATAATTACTGCTTTTACGTAATTATCCTCTCTGCTGATTGAAATCACGTTAAATGCCGGTTGTTTGGACGACGCTGGTTTGAGCAGTCCACCTGCTCCTCTGTAATAATTCTAGACTGTAAAGTCATAAAATTAGTGAAGAATCAGAAAGCAAGAAAAAAAAAAGAACAAACCTCCCAAAACTTGGGAAACAGATTTGACACCAAATACTGAATTCAATTTATCCCTTTTTTTTTCTGCTAGTATCCTTTTTCTATCAGTAGTCACAAGCCATTTGCAAACCACTGTTTCTCTTCTAATACTCCACGTAAATAAATTTCAGCTGATGGTTCAGCTCCTGAACTCGAATTTCATCTTTCTGGTGGTTGATCGGTTCGGCCTTAAATCTTTTTGGGTTTTCCCTCGCGCGCCGACTTTCACTGGGATTAGTTTCCTTAATCCTCTTTAGGGCTCAGAAAACAAACAAAAACAAACAAAAACAAACAAACAATCAAAAAACCAGGTGTCCCACAGACAAAACAAGGAGGGAATCCGGGCGGGAAAACCCAGACGAATTAATTACTGCACGCGGGAAAACTTTCCCAAACTTTTCTGCTGAGGAGGGGGGGAAACAAAGTTCACTGTTGCACAAGACGCCCGTGCTGATAACTGATAAAAAGCTCGTTCAGAAGAACCAACTGATAAAAAGCTCGTTCAGAAGAACCAAAGGCGTCGTTGTTGGATTCAAAGTTTCCCTGCCTTTACCAGCGGGGGGTCAAGGTCAGAAGAACAGGAAATCCCTGATTTCCTTCCTCCTTTCGCTTCTTCAACTGGATTTTGACACCTTGACTCTCCCCCCACCCCACCCGGGAGCAGCCGCGGGGTGTGGCTGATACAATCCCCCCGCTGAATTGTGGTTGTTTGGGGACGGTAATTGCGGACCTTCACCCTTTGGACACCTCCACCCCCCCCCTCTTGCAGGTAAAAGGTGCCACCCACACACGCGGATCGCTCTGGCTGATGAATCGCTCTCGGCCAACCCGCACCCGTCTCGTTTCCTAACATCAGCTAAAAGCAGAAAAGGCTGGCGGGGGAAGAATCAGAAGGAGAAGAGAAAGCCTTTGGGGGTATTTGGTGAGGCACCCCTGAAAAGAAATCGGGGCTGGAAAACCCGGGAGCGAGCGCAGACAAAACCGCGATTAATTTACCGCGATTAATTGGACTGCTAGTAATCTAACGGACCAGCAAAATACCACACGGGAGACGATGGCCACCCACACGGAAGGCAGACTCACTAGGAAAAGTTCCTCGAGATCAGCCTGGGATTCATTTACCACCTGCCAGCCCCTCCTGTAAAATTCATCGTGCATTTCGGGCCCGTGCACACACGCAGATAACGTGTGGATGTGTGTTCCTGATGCTCTGATGAAGCTACAAATCTGTCAGCGCAGGAGAACGGTGATTAACGAATTCAGGAAAAGAAAGAAGGGGCATCACCAAAGTCTGGGGTGGCGGACTCACAAATCATCAGTTCTGCGCCGGAAGAAGAAATCCCGGCCCATCTGAAGGAATAAAAATTTAATCATCAGCACTCGAGCGGAGGAGGACGGGCGAGAAAAGCAGGAAAATTCCAGGGTTAAAAAAAAAAAAAACAATAAAAATAAAAATATGGAAGGATGCTGCCACTGGAAAAACCAGTAAAAAAACGAGCTGTTGGTTTTGTTTCTGAATGCTGTTGCGTAATCATCATCATTTGGAAAAGCTTACCGGGGTTGAAGTAATTTCCATGTCAAAGTGTTTGGGGCTCAGAAAGACCCGAGATAATCTGACCCTGACAAATCGCAGCAATCCACTCTTTCCCCCTTCCCTGACACGGCAATCCCCTCTCTCAGAGGCAGGGAGGGTTGTCATCGCCTCTCCTGACCCCTTCAGGCTGCTGAAACCCCCTCACCTGGTTTCTTAGCGCTTTTAATCAGCACATTAACAGTTCCAAAATTCCTGAAGGCCACTACTACCAAAACCGCGATTAATTTACCGCGATTAATTGGACTGCTAGTAATTTAACGGACCGTGATCCCTCCACCTCCTACTTGGCCCCCCACTGAAGGTTTATTTTCAGGTGCTCAGGTCAGCCTCTGCACAGGGATGTTCCTGGGTGATGTGGCTCGGTCTCCCAGGAAAAAAAAGCCAGGATTAGGGGCAGAGAGGCTGATGCGTCACCGGCGAGACATCTATCTACAAACCGTGACGTAAGGACTGCATGTTAGCCAGAGCTTGACTTCAGCTCCAAGAAACCAGCCAGCAGCCAGCAACCCTTCACCTGGCAGCGGAATCAGCAGCAGAAGCAGCCAGTGGGGAGTCCACCTTTGGGAACAGACCTTGTTGGTCCGCGGGTTGAGCATCAGCGGCTTGCCCTTCTCCTTGGTGTGGAGGAGGCGGCACGGCGAGGCGGCTGCCCTCAGTCGGGAGAACATCCTCTGCTCCTGGGGGGTGCTGCACCTGAGGGGGGGCAGAGAAACAAAGCACAAGTCACAGGGGGGGCAGAGGAATCAGAAATCAGCACGCGCGCCAAGCGATGATATCACCCGTCGATGATGTCGATGATAACGGCCGGAAATCGCGCGGGAACAGAGGGAAGGGTTTGGGGATGCTGGGGGGTGTTTTGGGACTCCCCCCTCTCTCGTCTTCATCTTCCAGACCTTCTAGGCCTGAAGGTTGTTGTTGGGTCTCTGGTTGTATCTTCCTGCGCGGGGTTAGGATGTCGCGCCTTGAAAAAGGAGATTAAATACGCTCAAGAATTTAGGGGATCGACACGGGAATGGGTTTGAGCTGGTGTGTTAAAGGGTGATATTGCTGCTACTCTATAATCTACCTTTACTACATAACTATTTCTAAGATCTACAGAAATTAAAGATAAAAAAAAAAATCAAAACATCAAAACTCCCAAGGTATCAGCTCGGGCAGTTCGGGGGTACAACAGCCAGAAATGGGGGGAGAGACCCCAAAATTGGGGATCAAACCCCCCTAAAACGGAGGGAAAACACCCCAAAACGTGAGAGCCAAACACCCCAAAAACAGGGAGGAGAGACCCCGTGGTTGGGATTTTTAACGTCTTCCAGACGGGAGACGAAAATTGGATTAAGGAACGAAAACTTCGTTATCTCAATGCTTCGGAAGACCTTTCTAATAATCAAATCGACGCGTCATCAGCTTTTTAAGAAGGGGCAGAGACCGGACTACGGGCTGAGGGTTTTCTCGGAAATAGAGCAAAGAGGGAGGATCGAGTTTCACTTTCCACTTAGTCCCTCTGTTTAGATCCAGGAGATATGATCCCCGATGGATTTAGCATTAAACCCGACTGGTTGCTGCTCTCTCTCCTTCTGATCGTCCCCCGTATTTCTGTTTCGCCTCACTCCCCAGCGTATCAGATCGCAGCTCTTATCAGGAGGCATCTGCTCCGGGTCAAACTAATTACCAAGCGCCCTTATCTGGGAGCAAACGTTTTTTTTTAGTTGTTGTTGCTGATTACAGACTCGTTAAATTGCAAAAGGGGGAGAAGGTTCACCGCGTTCTTCTTCGGGAGAGCCGTCAATTAAAAGCCAGGTCTGCTTCGATTACTGACCTGTGGGTCCCACCTGATTGCTCGGGGTCCCTCCCAGCAGCACGTTGGAATCTGCGTTCCAAATCCAGTGTCAATGAAGAGTTCCAGCCCTTCTTTCATCTACAGGAATGGCCCCGTGCCACCACCACTTTTTTTTTTGTCGATTGTTTTTTTTTTAAGCCAGCAACAAGCAGGCAAGCCTTGCCTTACCCCGAGCATGACACAAACCAGGCACACGCACCGGCTGGTTTCATCACCTCAGCAGATAAAACAGCCTGAAATTATTGCACCGACTACAAAAGGGGGTTATTTTGGAAGCCCGACAGCATCAGAAAACCTCTCAGCACGAGCAGAAAGTTGAATTACCTGCTACTGAAGCAGAACCAAACCCCACCAGAGAGCTGTATTTCTGTACATTAATCGACCTGACCTAAATATCCCGACCCTTGAGAATCAGAAAGCGGAAACCGCAGCAGCGTTTTTGGGCCCGGTCTGACAAGAAGATGTGTTTCACACCCTCGACCCACTGGAAGGACAACTGATCAGAAAGCACAAAGAAGAAACCGAGCTGCCTGCTGATTCGGCGACAATCGGGCGAACCACGAGCCCGCGCCAACCACCTAGAAATTCTTTTAAAAAAAGAAAAAAAAAAACGCTTAAATTACAGGGGGAAACCCGAAAAACTATCGGGCCAACCAGCAAAGCTGCTGCTCCTCCTGCCGAAAAACGGGAGGTGCTAGTGAAGGCGAAGATTCCATCGGTACTCGCTACCACGCGCTTTTTTGGCAGCTTCCTCCTTTAAGTTTGCAGGAGAAGAGAAAGCTCCCAAATCTCGCCCTCGCGCTGGCGTTGCTGACTCACAAGCCGCGGAAGATTCTCTCCAAAATTCAAGCCCGGGGTGAATTATTTTTTTTGGCAGGTGTGTGTTATCGCACCAAACACCTGCGAGAGCCCCCCCCCCCCCCCCCACGCGCGCTGCCCCAGCTCCTCCTTTCGCCCACAGAAAACGTGGACACA